CCATTCTATGAACAACAGTGACCTAAGGAAACGTTAGTTTATTTGTCATTCTGGAGGAACTGCATACTAATGACTCAAAATTAAAAGATGATTTGCAAATTATGACATCTCATTCTGTGAGCTTGTCATTGTTCAGTCAACTCCTGCTTAGCATCTTATTTTTTAAACATCTCTGTTAACCTCCCTTCAACTTGTTCTCCAGACTGTACCAGAGTGCTATTTCAGACCCAAGTCCTACAGTTATCTCACACACACACACACACACACACACACACACACACACACACACTCACTTGAAAATGGTCAATGGCTTCCCATTGCCCATAGGGCCAAGGCAAAATTCCTGGACTTGTTGGCTAGCCCCATCAGCCCACCCAGCTTCATTTCCCTCCCCAGCTACACAAAGCTCAGATGGTTTAAATTCCCCTACCTCCCTCCACTTCAAGGGCATTTCCTACTTAACTTTCCTGGTATTAACTGTGGACATTTGCTTCCTGACCTCTCTTGTATATCCCTCTAGTATGATCCTTGAAGCTCCTGAAAACTCTTTTTTATATTTGACTATTTATACAGAAGGTCCTTGGGTTACATCAGAGATCTGTTCCTATGGTGCAACATAATGTGATTTTTGCCATAAGCACATACACCACTCACATGGAGCACATACACAGCAGTAATGAAGTGAAAGTAAAAAAAAAATTAAAAGAAAGATAACAATTCCTGACCTTTTCTTGTGGTAAATAAATAACAAAACAAAACAAAACAAAAAACATAAAGCACATATTTCCATACATTGAAATGACAGAACTTTTATTTATTTATAAATACTCTAAATGGGAAGTAGCAATGTAACCATGAAATGTCATACATCAAGTCTAAGGTAACATGAGGACTGCCTGTATTTGACTATTTTCTATCTCCTTCTGTATGACCTTGAGCTTCATGAGAACAGTGTCTACTTGTGTTTTTAATCACATTTGTATGCTAGGCATCTTCCATTTGGAACTGCTCAGTAAATATTTGTTGGATGGATTAATTAATTAATTATAAATTAAGATGGCCTCATGAAACCTCCCATGAATCCCCTTAATTGCCGGGCTGAGAAAGCTCGTGAACAGAAGATGAACAAGACTCTTTTGGGGAAGGGTATTTTGATGATCTCCCTCTACGATTGACTAAACACTGGTTGGTCATCAGTGAAGAGTTCTGTTGTCTGCTCTTTGAACTAACTGAGTTCCCTGGATGGTCATCTGTCTGAGTTGAACAGATGCAGTCCAGAGCTCTGTGTGGATTGATCCTATTTTATATAGGCCTGATCGTGCTGTGCTGACTGTGAGAGAACAAGGTGAATTACCGCCCTGATCCGTTTAGAGAAACTTACATCTCTGAGGATTACTTTATGCTCCGCCAAGGCCAAGTTTGATTTAAACCCTTGGATGCTCACTGAACTCCTCGGTCTTGAGCTTCCTTTATACCAGCTGGTATTTGTCAAGGTAAACAAGCACATGGTATCAACCATATATTCACTCTGTGTGGAGTGAAACTTATGTGGTGGCCTCACTTTTATAAACTTCACTGCTGATGGAAGTGCATAAAGACCTAAAACAGGAAAACAGGTCACCTCTGGTGTCAACTTACTCTCCTCATAGTGTGGCAATTTCAGGAGTGAACTTGACTTATTTTTCTTGTGTCTTGCTGCGAGGTTCATAAGGAAAATATATTTTATTTAGAAATAAGTTTCTGACCTCTGTCTTGCTCTCTCTTTTTACCATGTATATCAAAGGAATTAAATTTTTGATTTAAAAAAATTCTAGGTTATTTATATGTGGATAGAAAGTGGCTTTGTAGTATAGCTTGATATCTGGTATTGTGATCCCTCCAACTGTTTTCTTTTTTTCTCAGAATTGCTGTAGTTATTCTGGTCTTTTTTTTATTCAATATTAATTTTTTGAGAGTTTGTTCTAGGTCTGTAAAATATGTCATTGGTATTTTAATGGGGAGTGCATTGAATCTATAGATTGCTTTGGGTAATATGGACATTTTAATGATATTGATTCTACCAATCCATGAACATGGTGTATTCTTCCACTTCTTTATATCTTCCTCTATCTCCTTTATCAATGTCTTGTAGTTTTCTGAGTACAGATCTTTTACCTCCCTAGTTAAATTTATTCCTATGTATCTTAATTTTTTTGTTGCAATGGTAAATGGGATTGTTTTTCTAGTTTCTAATTCTGTGAGTTGATAATTGGAGTATAAAACCCATTGATTCTGTGTGTTAATTTTGTATCCTGCTACATTGCCAAATCCATTTATTAAATTAACTCATTTTTTTATGGAGTCTTTAGGATTTTTCTATGTACAATATTATGTCATCAGTGATTAATGACAGTTTTACTTCTTTTCAAATTTGGATGCCTTTTATTTTTTCTTCTTCTCTGATCACTATGGCTAGCACTTCTAGCACTATGTCAAACAGGAGTGGTGAAAGTGGGCATCCTGTCTTGTTCATGTTCTGAGGGGAAATTGTTTTATTTTTTGGCCATTGAGTATGATGTTTGGATGTTTGTTTGTCATATAAGGCTTTTAATATTATGTTGCGGCCACACTTACAGCGTGGTCCTGTGACCTGTGGTTGGGACCACTGGATTGCACCGGATAATCTGTCCTGGGCTAGGTGTTGAGTGTGTACCAGCTGATGCCTCTGTCTGGGCGGGTGTGGAGGGCATGCCTGGGCTGTGGCTCTGCACTGAGGTTCATGTTGGGCTGGGCAGGGGTACCCCTGGCTTGTACTCAACAGCATGAGGACTTGAATTGCAGGATCCTAGGACAATGGGTCTTGGCTCTAGTGAGAAGGCACAGCTCAGGAAATACCTTTGGCTTGCATTCACTGTAGACATCTGGGAATCATGGGGTGGTACTTCACTGTTCACTATCAGGGCATGGTAGTGGTTTCACATGAGTTATGGCTGGCAAGCAGCTCCCTGCACCAGTCTGGGGGTGTGGTGTCCGAGGTCAGTCTGGTGATTGGTATGACTGTGTTCCTGGCCTCCTTTATGCCACTTTACACGATGGCGTGGGCTCTGTGCCAAAGCCACCGTGGTCTAGGAGTGCCCGCTGCAGTAAAAGGGGCTCACTATTTAGGAGAACCCAATCAGTCCCCGGGTCTCCTGGGTTATCTAACTCTCCCTCACTCACCACACACACCGCATGTCTACACATGCCCCTCTCACTCCTATACTCTGTCGCACCCTCTCCCTCCCTGCCATTCTGTCAACTGCCATGTTCCCAAGCCTCAGTTTTCTCTTTGAACAAAAGGCCCACCCTTCACCTGGCTAGCTGGCCAACCTGCATCACTCTGCCAAAGCCAGAGTCACGCTCCAGGCCCGTGAAATACCAGCTCATAGCCTGCATTGGCAACTCCTCCTTTGAAGGATGTAAAATGGCTCTTGTGTTTTCTGTGATCTCAGTACTCATACTTAATCTATTTTATTCTGAATCATTTCCAGTTTTTTCATATAATATTTAGGCACCATATCTAGACACTTTAGATATATGTGTGTGTTTGTGTTTAGTAAATTCTTGTTATCTGTAGATGCTATATTTGTGAATTCATCTACCTCCTAAATTTATTTTCACTCCCCAAAATCAACATTTGCCTGATGACATGCTTATATACTTCATCATGTATCTTTAAAAAAATAAGTTAAATATTTTTGAAACCTCCAAAGCATCTTCCTGAGCAGTTTGAAAGCCAGTTCTTGTTTTCCTTTATGCTAATATTATTTTCTGAGTAGATTGTATAATGCCTAGAGGTTAAGGATCTTATCTCTTTTGCTTCTGTATTTGCAAATGATCTTAGGTCAGTGCTGAATATAAAGGAATCACTGATCATTGACAATTCCTTTAGCCCCGTGGTGGGCAAACTGCAGCTCTTGAGCCACATGCAGCTCTTTGGCCCCGTGAGTGTGGCTCTTCCACAAAATACCACGGCATGGGCAAGTCTACTTTGAAAAAGTGGTATTAGAAGAAGTTTAAGTTTAAAAAGTTGGGCTCTCAAAAGAAATTTCAGTCGTTGTTCTGTTGATATTTGGCTCTGTTGACTAAGGAATTTGCCAACCACTGCTTTAGCCCACAGTTGTCATCCAGCTGTACTTAGATAAGGATTTCTGCAGCATCGTGGTGAAAATCAGTGTAATGATGTTTGGTAGCATCAGGGTCTGGATGTACCTACAAAATGGATGACATTTTTTTCCCCATATGATATTCTCTTGACATTTCTTTTTTCCCTTGAAAACAAGAGCCAGTGGTAAGGCTCAAATTAACACTTCTCAGCTTCCCAAAACTGCCAGGGACAAGGTTGTGTGAGGTGCTTCCAGCAGGGAGATAAGACAAGATAATCACACTTTCTGTCTGCCTTAAGGCTGTACTATGTATCCTGAAGTGCTAGAAAAGGGACAAAGGGGTCCTTAAGAGCTGTGTCATTACTGAGCCAAAGGTACTCATTGGTTTCCACATAGAATTCTGATGTCTAAGAATTCACTAGCACACTGATTTTTCTCGAATATTCCCCTTAAGTTAATTAAATGGCTTTCTGTCCAATGAATTTAATAATTCTTTTTTGAGGAGCTCAGATGTTCAGAAATCAAGGGGTGAAGGTTGATTTATCCTTGCCCAGTATAAAGCACAGCTGAGTTCCATGGTGCGGATAGAAATGGATTAACTGCAGGACTCCAGGGCTTTGTTGGTGAGGCCACTTCCCCAGCTGCACAGAGGGTGTGTGTATTCAGAGGTGGTGACCCAATGGCTTGGACCTTCCAGAATTCACTAAACAATGTTCACTAACATAAGCACACTCAGAATTTGTTTAGCAAAACAAGTCTCTACCTCAGCCACAGAAAGAATGCAAAAGCAATAGGGAGATTTCATAATGTCCACCCATAGACTCGTGCTTATCTGTCAGCGGGGTTATTGCCAACAAGGATTCTCTGTTGCTCCAGGAAACGCTGTCAGAAGATGAGAGAAAACACAAAGAAGCTTTGGAAGATCTTCACATGGCAGTTGACGAAGACTCAAGGAGCGAGAGCAGCAGTGCAGACGAGGGCAAAGAAAAGACCAAACTGTTGTTGGAAAGGCTCAAAGCTCTAGAGGTAAGAAATGAGACCATTTTTACACATTTAAAGAAAAATAGTGCTCTGCTTCTTTTATTGACACTAGTTTTGAATGAGTATAAACATTCCCTTCTCAATTCTGAGTTCCCTATACTAATAGGATCCAGTCTCTCCCATTGTGATTCCTCTGTCAGTGATTAGCTGTCATCATTTGAAGACTCGTGGCCTAGTGACTGAGATTGCATTGCCTTACAAAGAGTGCACTGGACAATGATTCACTTTAAATTCGATTCAGCCTTCACAATGGATCAGGTGTCCTAATATAAAAGAAAGAGACTTTTCAATATTTCACTTCATTTACCCAATACCTAATGTAATGAATGAATGAGCGAGTTAATAAGTGTCCAATACTATGTAAGGATGATTCTAAAAGAAAAAAAATTTAAGCAGAACCATTATTTCTCCCCCCCAAAAATATGCAGAAGTTCACTATGTAAAACATGAAAGTAGAGGTGAAAAATTAGCTAATGGGTACTTGAAGGAGGTTTTTGAACCATGACAATCCTCCAAAACATGTTTGAAAATGCTGGGCTATTGTTTAATGGCATTGGACTTCACTTCAAGTCTTAATTCCTAAATGTGTATTGCAGTCCTCAAAGAACATTCCAGGTATCCAGTCTTGGTAGGGATTATACAGCTGAAAGGTTCAGTAAAGATGCCTTTTTCTATGAGCAGGCTCATATTCTTTTAATGAGCTTTCTGTTAGCATGTAGAACTGAGACATAATTACTTTTAAGCAAAGACTATGGGTAGCCCATCTCTTCTTAAACTATAATAGAAACAAGAGGCCTTCAGAATCCCCAAAATGTAGTTCTCCGGTTGGGTCTGCAGAATTCTGGAATCTCCAGGATGGTGAGGAAATAAGATTGGAGATGTCTTGTTTTCTATGGTTGGTTCCTAAAATCTTGTCTTGAATCCATCACATATTCTACAGTGGGCATCCTGCTCTCTTCCTCTAATTTCTTCGGCAATTGTAAAGCAAAATTGTTAAGAGTATGGACTTTGAAACCAGATTCCCAGGGTTTGGTTTGAATCCCAGTTTACTACTTTCTAGTTTTGAAACCTTGAGCAAGTTAATTAGGCCCTCTGTTTCTTCAAATGCAAAAATGGGGCTAATAGAAACTTACAGGGAAATAATGAGGATGCGATGACTTAATATTTGTACAGCTGTGCCTGGCAAAGGTGCTCTTCTGTCCACCTACTTCAAGCTGCCTGCCATTCCTTAACTCATTTTTTCCTATTCATCTGACACAATGATCAATTAAACAACTATGAATGGAAAACTTCAGCCAGGTAGGTAGGTCAAGCAAACGGTATCACACATGGCAGAAGAGAGGGCAGCTTAAGGAACCTCGGCTGCTCCCCTTGGGCAAATGGCCAGGAATCACTCCTTTCTCCCCAAAGATTCTCATACTTTTTTTCATTTTTAAGATAGTTGCTGTGAACAGTGGGAAAACCTTCTCAAGGACTACTGAGGTTCTATCTGAGAGTTTAGGGAAACTCAGAGCTTTGTCTTCTGGATGACTTCACTCGATTGAACAATGGGGATGACTAGATATTATAAGTTCTTACTTCCCTAGAACCACCTACTTAAATGGTTAGTTTTACTTATGATTACAGTAAAAAGCTATTCTCATCTACCTATTTGTCACTGAAAAGACTTTGTGAATAACATCAAGAGCTCTTTAAAAAATTAATTTCTGGTGATGCATATTTTCTAAGCCCATGCTGAGTAAAACAGAAGCAGTATTTTTTTTTGTACTTTCACAGAGATCTTTATACTTCAGGCAACAGTGCTTATATCCAGCATTAGTTGGGTGTAATGGGTGATATTTCTAAGTGCCATTAAGCCCCACAATTTTAATTCACAAATATATTCTATTTTCTAAGTTAATTTCCTCCCGGCAGAGTGTTACCGCTTGTTTTCTAAATGCTTTGCTCAATCTTTTTTTTGTTGTTGTTTCTTTTTTTTTTTCTTTTCTTTTTTTTTTTTTTTACATCAAGCAACCTACATGGCTATTCTCTCCAAGCTCCCAAATATCTTACTGTTGTCTATTTGAACAACTAGTAAAAAGAGATCTTCATTAAATATACATAATATATGTATACACCCACACATATAATCACACACATATATATGCCTCATCCAATTTTTATATGAATTTCATATTACTTTATTTTTATTTTTTTATTTTATTTTTTTAATATATTTTATTGATTTTTTACAGAGAGGAAGGGAGAGAGATAGAGAGCTAGAAACGTCGATGAGAGAGAAACATCGACCAGTTGCCTCTTGCACAGCCCCCACCGGGGATGTGCCCGCAACCAAGATACATGCCCTTGACCGGAATCGAACCTGAGACCTTTCAGTTTGCAGACCAACGCTCTACCACTGAGCCAAACCGGTTTCGGCCATATTACTTTATTTTTTAAAAATTAACTGTATGTGCTTTCTGTATAATCATTTGCATAAGTTAGCAATTATTGTGTGAAAATAGTGTTCATTCTGGCAGACCATATTCAGGTCCAGCCACAGAGACCCACCCAGATTTATGCACTTCAACAAAGGGTTACTCTGGAAGATTGCAGGGACATTAAATAGAATTCTTCAAAATTCCTTGGGCAAATTATGATGTTATACAGCAAGATTTTAGACAACCAAAAATATACTTGTCATTGGTGTGTTTTTGAAACAACCATGAATGTGGGCTCTGACCTCTTGGGCCTCTGTTGTGGCAGGAGGCACAGAGGAGTGGTCTTCTGAGCGATAGGGAGCAGCTCACCTTAATTCCTGCTCTCCAAACAGGTCCCAAGAAGGTGAAAAAGCAGAGGAGATGCTGACTTAACTTCTAATAATACCATATTCTTGATTAATATCAGGAAAATATTTTAAAACAACCAAAGTTGAGGAGCCTCTGTCTCTGAGAATTAAGTAAATTTATCCAAGCAAAGTATCTCCCACTGAGGAAAGTGTAGTGGCACCTCTGCTCCAGAATGTTCCTTCTCGTGGGCCTTCCTGGGGCTGAATGCCTACTTGCACTCTAAATCCTTCTTTCTTATTCTCAGCCTCATGTAAAACAAAGCCCTCTTTACTCATTTTTTTTCCCTCTCAAATGCAATCCCTCAAAGGATAGGTGATCCTGGAAGAGTATTCGAAAGGCTAAGGGCTTTGAACTTTGTCTTTAGATGGCTCTGTTTTCTCTAAGTCCTTTGGGGCAGGACATTTCAGGCTTGCCCTTCTCAGTCCCCAGCCTTTTACCCTAAAGCATGGCTAGCTCTTTCCCACTTGTTCTCTCTCTCTCTCAGCCAAGTTCCCCATCATTTATTGAGCAGAGATTTTTGTGTTCCTGTATTCTACTCACGGTGTCCTTCCATTCCACTCACAGAGCTCACCAAAGTATTTGCTAAAGAAGACATTTACCTCCCAAAAAAGAACTCTAGGGCCAGCAGTCAAAATAATATTAATAAAACACACATGCACACATATTTTTTTTCTCTTCGTAGCAGTTGTTTTCTCTACTCAGTGTCTTGGTTTCAGTAATTTTCAGGTGTTCATAAAGAAGAGAAGGCCAATTACTCTCACCTCCCAGCAATGACTTCCCCAGGGACTAAATTATATTCGTTTAGGATCCTGATATCTGGTGGAGAAACCATTTGGTATGTTTATATTTCTGCCATAAGGGACCCAATGGGTGATACGGATGCCACTTGAACTCATTTTCTATAATTTTTTAAGCATTAGGTTCTTTTTTTTTTTATTTTTTTTATTTAGAGTGTCAGTCTGCTATTTCAGAGACTTTATTACTCATAATAAAGCTCATCATTTTTAACATGCTGCAGGTCCCATCTATCAAAGACCCCTTCACCTTTGACCTCATCCTACAAGGGTCTTTCAGATTTGACCTCCACAATGGAATGACTTAACCTTGGGTCTTCTCAGCTCTCTATTCCTGGGCTTGGGCTTTAGGCCAGAATGCTCATGGCATGTCCCTTGAAATACAGAATTTGCTTGTCTCCAGGTCCCTTTCCTGAATCTCTCTCAGACCTTTCTCCCTACTCATTGACCAGCTTTATAGTAGAAATCAAGATGAAATTCTCTTACCTCACTCTCAATTCCCATGGCATCTCTGGTTCCTAGACTCTTGCCAAGGGGGAGAAGAGGCCTGAGACCACCTGGGACTTCTCAGCCTCCAGGTAGATGCTGATGTTTTGGATACAGCCTCAGGTCAGAAGAACTTGGCTTCTTATAGGGAAACACCTATTTTGTGCAGAAAAATATGGTCGTTAGATGTGCTAAAGTAAATAAGAACATTTACTACTCAATTTCACCTTCCCATGAAAGTATAACAATTAAAATGCTAAGTATAAGCATTTTTGTTAATCAGTAATTACTGTTTAGAATGAGGTATCTTAAAATAGTAATTCTCAAACCTGGCTGCACATCACAATGACATGATGAGTTTGTATTATAGTTGATAGATATTTATTTAATACCTTCTATGGGATAAACACTGTTAGGCATTAGTATTAGAACTCCAACTCCAGTGTACAGAGTCAACATACATATTTAATAAAATAATAAATAATAAAACAAGGAAAATAGATAACTAATTGCCTCTGAATATGAAAAATTAGCTGATATAGTAACAGGAGAGTGGGGATGGAAACAAGAGAGATATTTACCTCCAATGACCTCTGATACTGGGACAATTGAGTACAATCTACTCTTATAAAAGAGAAACATGCAAATTGACCATCCCTCCACTACACCCACCAGTCAGTCAGAGTGAGTATGCAAATTAACCCAACAAAGATGGTGGTTAATTTGCATATGCATGCACAGAGCGAAGACTGAAGACAGTGTAGAAGGAAGCCAAGTGCTGCAGAAGGGAGTGAAGCTGCAGAGAAGCTAGTGAGGTGGCAGCAAGCCCCAGAAAGTTTGAGTAACTTGCTCAAGGTTACATAGTAAATAAGAGAAT